GGCCCCACAGCCACAAGCCAGGTTGTTCCATCTGGTCACTGCTCATAACCTCCTATGAGGAAATGGTCTGGACTCCAGAAAAGCCTGGGCCTCTCCCGAAAGCATCTCTGCTGCCCTCCGTTCCCCAAGAAGACAGCCCGTCCATCACATCCCTGTGTTCCCAGCTGCTACACTTCAGAGGCCTAACACAGAAAGGGTAGGGGGAGACTGGTCTCTCAAAGCTTCTCCGGCCTGACATCTGTGTGACATGACATCCTGTTATAATAAACAGCCTCCGGCAGCGCACGGTCATTTGCACATTCCACATCTTCCAGACTACATCTGACAGCATGCAGCTTCCCACGCTGCTCCCTCACCCCAAGCAGGAGCCCCCTAAGGCGGGGGCTCTGGTGCCCTTTGGACTGTTCCTTCCCGACTCCCACTCACCCATCGGCGCTCAGGCCGGGGCTCAAGTTTCAAGGACTCTTCTTGGGTCCCTCAGAGTGACCTTGAGCTGACCCACACCACCATATGGCTCCCCTTATCTTGGCTCCACGGCACAGCCCCTCAGGGTCCCTCCTGCCACGCTTCTGGAGGCTGTGGTTCCTTCCTCCCCCCTCCTATTGCACCCACTGCTCTGAAACAGTTGCACATGACTTTCTCCTATCTTTCAGGCCCACCCTACCCTTCCGGTCAGCACCAAACCACACTGCCTGCAACATGACTCATCCCTTCCCTCAGCTTTTGGACACTCAGACCAGGGAGCCAAGGGGAAAGAGAATTTGGACAGGGACACCAACCTGGGGGAGGGGGACAAAGCGGTCTGAGGGACAAAAAGCCAGGTTAGAGCCTGGGGGCGGGGACGTGGCCGGTATTAGATATTGCCTGGTGAGTACGCACATACGAGTATAATTGCATCCACGGGATTTGGATTATAAAGGAGAGTACCGTCGACTGGGTGTGTATTAGGAAGGACGGTGTGCGTGCCACGGGCAGGTAGAATTAGGCCTAACGCCTATACGCTGCTTCAAGCACATTAGGGTTCCCCTGGGTAGAATGACGGGTTGCCAAGTGCTCAGTGAGTGTGGGCTCTCCCTGTATTTAACAGTCCAACCTGGGCCCCGCCTCCAAGTCCCCTCCCTTCCCTGGAACAGCTATACCAGTGGTTCCCGAACCTTCTGCCTGCTGGAAATCGTGGGGCCTCTTTAAAAATACCATTGCCCTCAGAGATCAGATCTAATTGCTCTGGGCTGCAGCCCAGGCATCGGGATTCTCCAAAGCTACCCAGGTGATTCTAATGGACACGGAGTCTGGGAGCCACTGAGCCATGGCACTTTTTTCAAAGCCAGAGCTCAGTCTGCCTGACGGTCGGCAGCCTTGGGGCAGGGTATGCAGCGACAGAAGAGGGCCGCTTGATAGCTCCAAGCGACCTGCGGAGTCTATCATCAATCCTTGCCTGGGCTCCAGGCTCTGCGTCCTACAGCGAGCGGATTACTCTGATTACTGTTACTGCCTCACCGCCTTCGGGTCCAGCGTGGCAGGGTGGGGAGAGCCAGACAGTCCTAGAACCCTGCCTTTCAGTGGAGGCAAACAGAGAGGGTGGGAGGGGCTGGGGAGAGGGGGCTGGGGGTGGGGACAGGCTGGGCCAAGGGCATCCGGCACAAGGGCAGTCCCTGCAGCCCTGGGTATTTTGGCGGGCCAAGAATGACTGCTCCGTGCTCGGAGGGGCTGGTCGGCAATGCTGCGGTGTGACTGGGGGAAAGGGGTGCCCAGAGGGCTGGTCAAACATTACTGCCAGGTGTATCCGTGAGGGTGTTTCCAGAAGAGATGAACATTTGAATGGGCAGAAGGAGTAGCAGAGATGGCTCTTGCCAGTGTGAGTGGGCACCAACCAATCCGGGGAGGCTGTGGATCGGACAAAAAGCAGAGGAAGGGTGAGTGCGCTCTCTCTGCTCGGGCTGGGACATCTGTCTTCTGCCCTTAGACATGGGCACTCAGGCCTTGGGACTCAGGCGGGAACCACACTGCCAGCTTTCCTGGGCCTCCAGCTTTTGCAAATGGCAGATCGTAGGACTTCTCAGCCTCCACGATCATGAGGGCCAATCTCGTGTAATAAATCTCTTTCCGTGTATCTCACTCTACGTCCCATTGTTTCTGTTTCTCCGGAGAGCGCCCACACGCCGTGCTTCGAGGAGAAGGTTATGATGAGGGGCTCAAGGCACCTCCAGGCTCAGCACTGACTCTGGGTCTGTCATTCAACCTCTCTGGGTCCAGGCTCAGCAC